ACGTTTATCAACATGCAAGGTTTCATTATAAGAAGCAACAGTATCCAGCAAATATAGGTTATCATAACATAATAAAGAACCAGAACCAATTTTATTTGAATTTTGAAAGAGAGTAAATTGGCTATTTCCAAAAGAACAAAAATAACCGGACTTGTCCAACAAGGAAACAGAAATTAAATTCCTTCTAAAAGAAGGAACAACGTATCTCTCTTCCAAATCCAAATAAAAACCAGTCTTTAATAATAACCTAACAGTGTCTATTGCTTCAACTTCAGCTGTCTCGCCATTGCCCACATAGATGAATCTTTCAGCATCACTTGGCTTTCGGCAATTCAGGCAACCCTGCATAGACACACTTATATGAGCAGTAGCCCCGGAATCTACCCACCAAGTATGTCTAGGTACTGAAACCAAATTAACCTCAGAACAAAAAAAAACAATGCACATACCTTTCTTCACACGCCAAGCGTGATACTTAGTGCATTCTTTCTTCTGATGAGAAATTTTACCACAAAAGAAACAAGCTGATCCATTTTCCTTAACTTGTTTCTTTTGTGGAGCTGCAACCACAACTTCTTTATCCTTCCTTTTCCTCTTGTTATTTTCCTTAGAGGTTGATGCCAAATGAACACTTTCAGTCTTTTCTTGCTTCAACCTATCCTCTTCAGCTACACAACGTGAGATGAGCTCATTAAGAGTCCACTTCTCCTTTTGGCAGTTATAACTGACCTTAAAGAGACCAAATTGTGCAGGAAGAGAGTTCAAAACCAAATATACGAGCAAGTCATCAGACAGCTCTAACTGTAGTACCTTAAGTTTTGAAGCAAGATTAGACATTTGCAAAATGTACTCCCTAATGTTCCCGGATCCCTTATACTTCATGGAAACAAGATTTCCCAAAAGGGAACTTGTCTCCGCCTTATCACTTTTGAGAAAGCGTTTTTCAAGTTCCTCCAGGAACAATTTGGCATTTTTATCCTCAACCATATTACCCCTAAATGTTTCCGGAATTGAGCTCTTCATGATCATCAGACTCATGCGATTTGATCGCTCCTACTTCTCGAAATACCGCTGTTCATCAGAGTTACTCTTATCCGTAAGAGGAGTGGGACAATCAACCCGAAGTGCAAGGTCGAGATCCATGCAACCAAGAACTAGCTGGACAGTTTCCTTCCAGCTCTTGAAGTTAGCACCACTCAAAATCGAAATGGAGTTTATATTAGCAGAAATAGTCGAAGCGGAATCAACTGTGCATAAACAGAAAATAACCAAACATAAGCTCACATATAAAAAACAAACTTTAACATGAATAAAAAAAATTTAAAATTGGCTTTCCCTATTTACAAGATACCTAGTACAACAATGAGTTTAGTCTTTGGACAGAAACAACAATTTGCAAGTGGGTACTCTTGTCGTAATAATCAAACATTGACAATAAAATTTTGTTAAATAACAAGCCTTTCTTTGGACCGACTTATTACTCACAAAAAATACCAAATAATCGTCGCACGTTTATTACCACAAGTATGTTTTGACTTCGGCCAAATAATAACCTTCCTTTGGGCCGGTCATTATCCACATAAAGCCAGAACACACATACTGTCACCTTGGTATTTTAAATTAACTAATCAACACAAAAGAGGTCACTTTGGCGACATATTGTATTAATCAATCAATTTAATAAATATTAAATGTCCAAAGATAGATTTTCTTTATGCCAAATTTAAATTTATATGACATTAATCTATAGCCCTTGAGGGCAAAACTGAATAATGGTTTAATCAAATCCAAAGGGTTGACCAAACCACAATGGATTATACTCTTAATTAAATTACTAATCAAACAACATTATGCGATCTGATCAAATTGAATCAATGCATGCAAACTGAAAATGACCAAACTAAGTACCAAATAATTTATCTAAGGTTTTGAAAGGTACTACCTTCACCGAAAATTAGAAAACCCAAAGCCTGAGACTTTCAAAAACCGAACCAAAAAATTTCAATTGCCAAATGGTTTAAATAATTTGATAACTAATTGTTCTTGACCAGATTTATCCTGAAAGATTCCTTAATTTTGGAACTTAATTCAAAACCAAAAAAAAAAAAAATGGTTAACTTTAATTGATCAATAGCAATTTGTTGGCGCAACCTAACTCCAATAATCCGTTGCCGCCATCAAGAAAAGTTCCAAAATAATTAATTATTCAAAGTTATTAAGTACTAAACCAAAACTGGTTTTCGAGGAAAAAAAAACAGAAAAAAAAACTGAAATAAGAAGAGGGAAAGCAAAGCCTTATCATGCTAAATCTTTATCAACAAAATAGTGTCAACGAATATTTTGCTTCCCACAAACTTGTTCAGACTTACTCAATTGTTGGCAACTTAAACCGAAACGGATATTGTCAAGATTGTTCATCCCCAATTAATTATGAATACATCTAAACAAATTAGTAATCAATCAAACACCTTTAGTCTTAAACATCTGTGCATGAAATCCAAATCAATTCTTGTGCAACACTGAATCGCCCAGGATTACTCAGTGGAAAGTTTGACCTTTTAATTCACATAAACCCTAAAGGCTTAGGCCAAAACCAAAACTGAAATTTTGAGTCCGTAAATCATTAAAAAAAAAAAAAAAACTACCACGAGAATAGAAGATTGACCACGAAACCTAATTCAAAACATAAAATTATTGTAGACCTGAATAACGTAAAAACCAAATCCTTTTGTACCGAACCAAAAGTGATAAAGAAATCACCGAAACTTAATCTTAATATTTATCCAAAGAATACAACACCAAAGATTGAATTCATACGCGATTATTACCACCCTACTGTAAACACATAAATCAACCGAATTTCTCAATAATTTGAGTTGGAGGTGGCTCTGATACCACTTGCAGGATTAAATCCTTTAGCCTAACACTCCAAATCAAATAACGAGAACCAAACTAATGCGGAAGCGTACCTGAATCCATTGCAGATGAATAATTTCTTCAGGTTTGGTTTGATCTTCTAGATGATTTCTTTAACCGTGTAAAGAACGTGAGTTCTCAAACTGACAAATGGGGAGGCAGTTTTTGACGGCGTAAAGACTCACCCGGGGACCACAACCAGTTACATAGTAGTAGGGTTTCTTTTCCACCCATCACTGGAAAAGAACCCTGGTCTTTTAGGTTTCTATACAATGATGTCCACAACTTTAACTTAATTAATAATTAGCAAAAAATTTTAGTTAATATAATTTAGATCACTTTAATTGGGCTATATTTTATAATAGCATATAATATATAATTATATGTTTAGTGTATAAGTCCAAAATAACCTTACACTTATTACTTTAGGGTTAACATTTTTCTTCTTGTTCTGTAGTCCCACCTTAATTCGGAATTATTCAAGAGGTAGAGCGGACTATTAAAATTGGACGGATGTAATAATAATTTTATTTTTGTTTGTTAGCCATGCATAGGCTTATTGATATTCATATGTGAAGAAACTACAGGTCTTAGACTTAGAATCTACAACGTAACGTAATTATATATGCAAATTTAATTAAGGGAGATTGTGTTGGTTTTGGTGTTAATTCCGTAATATGTGTATCGTGCACCTACACATACATACATAGTGCCGGTATAAACAGTCGAGAGTGCCTGGGGTGGGTGGGTGGGTGTTGGGGGTGTTGGGGTTTGGGATGTGGCAAGTAGTTGACACCGGAAAAAAGACCCAAAATGTTTTGCAAAATAGGGTGTATCAAGCTATTCTATACGGTTATGACATATTTCCACTCGAATGGTACCGGTGTATTCTTAGATATTCAATGTGTGTTTGTTTGAATCTCTTTTTTGCTGCATTTTGAATCTTCATATACAACACTTTTTCTAGATTTACTATGTAATTGTTTACCTTTGGGTTGGGAGCTGTTGATTTTATGTTTAATTAAGTCAATGTAATTTGGTGAACTTTTTCTTCCTCTTCTATCTTCCACTTTTTATTTGAATTCTGCTTTCATATGCAGTGTTCATTGTTGTTGTTTATCGTTCCAAAACCTCTCGTCACATCAAAGCTCATTGTTGTTGTTTATACAACACTTTTTCTAGATTTACTATGTAATGGTTTACCTTTGGGTTGGGAGCTGCTCTCTTTCTCTCTTGAATATGTATTCAAAGCTCACAAAATGTTGAATTATTCATTAATTGGTTTGTCTAGATATTGGCCCAATATTTTGTACTATTTCCATAATGGTTTGTTTGATTCATATTGCAGGGCCAACACAATCTATCTTATCTAATAAATGAATGTCTCCTCAATGAAGATGACCGGGGCGGATTTTATTGTGCTCCGTGGCATAGCAGCTGTTCTATTCCTAGGTTTTTATTCTTGGACGGAGTACAAATAAAAAAACCAAGAGGAGAATAGTAGCACGTAAAGCTTTTGCTTGGTGTTGGGTCTTTTTCTTTTCCTTTTTTTTTTTTTTGTTACTGTTACCATCAACACTTTGTTGCTGTGAACTTCAACAATTTTGTATCTATATTATCTTCTTTCTGCTAGCGAAGATTATTATTTCCAGACAATATTAATAATCGTCTTTGTGAAGGAAACCAGACATTCATTAATGACCTTTGTGACTAATGTGAAATTAAAACAGCTTTCATTTGTGTGATTGTTTCGATAAGACTAGATTTATAGGAGGTTTTCTCAAATTTGAAAGATGATTGTATGATGCATTGGTAGAGCTAGTAATCAGTTTTCAAAAGAAAACTATATATATCTTCCCCTTGTTATTGAGCGAATTAACGTTTAACACATCAAAGAAAGCGATTAAGGATCATACTTAGGGTCCAATGTAGTATGTATAATATAAACATGTATAAATGTAAAAAAAATATTGGGTCTTGATGAGAAATCAGAATTCATAATTCTCTCTCAATTTGACAGTACATGAAGTTTGAGACTAAACAACAATAAAAACCAGATGCTAAATCTGAAATACTGTAAAAGATCAATACACAAATCGACCATAACCGCCGGCGACCGCGGTGGCCTGAAGAGCCTGCTCCAAGTGCTTGGTCAATCCATAATTGCGGACGTTGAGATCAGTGACTTCTTCTCGATATTTCTTCAATAACTCCTTGAGTTTCTTCACTTCGCCGCCGTCCACGTAATCCTTCTGGCGCTTATATAGAATCGCAACCGCCCGTTTCAGCGTGGCATTCTCCTTGGACATTGCTTCTACTTTTTCCTTAAACCCTAGATCACCACTTTCGGAATGATCATCGGCGGCAGCATCGGCCGCGGGGACGGCAAATTTAGTTAAAAGATCGTCGTACAATTTGGAAGCGCGAGATTTCGCGTCATCAACGTCTTTTGCTTTCATCATCTCATTGATGATCAAATCAATCCATTCTACTTTGTTAGTTGGAGTCGGGTCATATTTAGCAACGTTGCTGAATACATAATCTTCATCCCTGAAGCAAACTTTCTTGGCAAGAGATGAATCATCTTCCTCTTCTTCTACAAATACGAAGTAAGATCTCTTCTTTCGAGCCACCGGAGGAGGAGAAGCAACGAACGAAGCCGCGGGCGGAGGAGGGTTTACTGTGGAGAGTCGCAGCTTCTTAAAGGATCGAGAAGCATCCAACGAGACATTGTTAAACTGATGAGCACAAACTGCGGCAGCCATGGATGATAAAATTTCTTAATTATTAGTATCACTTTCTTCTCAGCTTAATTCTTTGTGTGGTAAAAAAAGGGTTGGTGAGAACTCTAGTCGTGATCTGCGCTATATATTTATATAGACGAGTAGATGTGTTTAAGTACCAAACATTAATAGGATTCGGACAAGTATTCAACGGGTAACTTCCATATTCCGAATCCAGTTCTCGATACGTTTAAGGTTAAATTAACGTCGGATTTGGAAATTTTGGTCGGTTCTAATTTATTTATTTTAAATTATTTTGGGAGTGTAATTTGACCGTTTAGAGAATTTTGTTACGGGGTTTTAACACTTTTTTTTTTCTTGGTCTAGACAAATGGTGGAATATTAAACTAGGAGGGTAATGTGTGACAGTTCAAATTTGTGTACTAGGGGATAATCTCCAGATCTTTGTACCCAAACAAAAAGTTTAAAGAGAGAGAGAGAGAGAGAGAGAGAGAGAGAGAGAGAGAGAGAGAGACGTTTTTTTCCTTGTTGTGAATTTGTTGATGGAGTAGTATAATATTGATTTATCAAAGTTAATACACAAGATTAGAAAAGATGCAAAACTTTTAAAATTCATTATTAATTTTGAATTTTTTTTATTGAAACTCCACCAGCCCTGATCAAAATATCCGTTGGGTTCACTATGGAAAAATACTACTCCGTAGTTGTTTAAAGATTTCAAACCCACACTAAAAAAAAAAAAAAAAAAAAAAACATTTCGAACGTTGCAACTGTTTTAGCAATTTACTTATTTGCATCAATTTCCTACGAAACTTTATAGTTTTTGACATTCCTTGATCATTCAATGATATAGTACGATTAAAATTGGCTTCCTTTTCCTAACCGTATTTTTGTTATTTTCCATACATAAATACACCCGTCGTCTGTTACGCTCCCCCCAAAAAAACCCATCACTTAATTATTTTGGCAGGATTTCATCATGAATCAAGAAGCCAATGCTTCCACTGTCAACGACTGTTCCCTCAATTTTGGAAACTTATGCATCGACGAAGACAACAACAGTGGAGGAATTGCAGTTCAGGGTGTAATTGTTGGAAATTCCTCTGAACAAATTCAGGGGACAAAAACAGGGCAATCTTCACCCACTTCTTAGGGATTAATAGAAATTCCTCAATGTTCTGACCAAAACCCGGCAAGAAATATCTTATCTCCAGGTCTTTGCCATACCAATTTTGAGATAAAGCATGGGATATCGCCTTCGATCATTGTTATAGGCGGTGGCTTTGCCGGGATCGCGGCTGCAAGAGCTCTTCATGATGCTAAATTTCAGGTGACTGTGTTGGAATCCAGGGACAGAATCGGCGGTCGGGTTCACACCGATTATTCCTTTGGATTCCCGGTTGATATGGGAGCATCATGGTTACAGGGAGCTTCCAATAAGAATCCATTGTCACCTCTTATTGGAAGACTTCAGTTGAAACTTTACCGTACAAGCGGTGACGACTCTGTTCTGTACGATCATGATTTGGAGAGATATGCTCTGTTTGATATGGATGGAAATCAAGTCGCAAATGACTTGGTGTCAAAGGTTAGTGTGATATTTGAGAGCATCTTGGAAGAGACGGACTTAGTCAGGGACATTATCAGTAGGGATATGACGATTTCTCGTGCGATTTCGCTCGTTTTTGAACGGCGGCCGGATTTAAGGTTGGACGGCCTTGCTCATAAAATCTTGCAGTGGTGTCTGTCCAGAATGGAAGGCTGGTTTGCTGCAGATGCTAACACGATATCGCTCGAAAGTTGGCACGACGAGGAGCTGCTTCCCGGAGGACATTGCATTATGGTTGAAGGTTATCTTCCCGTCATTAGAAAGCTTGCTAAGGATCTTGACATTCAGTTGGGACATAGGGTTACTAAGGTTGCTAGAGAAGAGAATCAGGTGACAGTGACAGTGGAGGACGGGCGAACGTTTCTCACTGATGCCGCCATAGTTGCTGTCCCCCTTGGTGTGCTGAAATCAGGTCGCATCCAATTTGAACCACGATTACCAGATTGGAAAGAGGAAGCCATGAATGACCTGGGAATAGGGATTGAAAATAAGATAGTTTTGCTCTTCAGTGAAGTCTTCTGGCCAAATGTAGAGTTCTTGGGAGTGGTTGCGGAAACTTGTTATTTGTGCAGTTACTTTCTCAATCTGCACAAAGCCACTGGTCATCCTGTCCTTGTTTACATGCCTGCAGGTCAACTAGCCCGTGATATTGAGAAAATGTCAGATGAAAGCGCTGCCAATTCGCCTATACACAGCTGAAGAGAATCCTTCCAAATGCCTCGAAACCAATACAGCATCTTGTTTCACTGGGGAACCGATGAAAATACATTGGTTCTTACAGTTATGATACAGTAGGTAGGCCTCATGATCTTTACAAGAAGCTGAGAATTCCGGTAGAATACCTGTTCTTTGCTGGGGAAGCGACGAGCTTCGAATTCTCTGGTTCCGCTCATGGAGCATACTCTTCGGGGCTGAAGGCTGCGGACGATTGCAGGATGCTTTTCCGTGAGAAGTATGGGGAGTTTGATCTCTATAACCCTGCAATTGTCGGGGAAGAGACAGTCGGACTGCTGATCACCCGGAAGTAACTGCCAGTATGTATCTGTTGTATCGGTTATTCTGATCCAATTTCCCGATGAATAATCAAAGCAGCATTTTCTTCATGGAGGCTGACTAACAGTCTAACAGAGATTCTTTTATTTGAAAAGTACAAGTAGAGGCTGACTACATCAAAATTCGAATCCCGATGCTACTTTACATGTATCATCTCATATATTTTACAAATTTTATTCGTTGACATTCTCAAATATGAATATATCTTTTTATATTTTTAATACTACCGATATTTATTGAACAAAAATGTAAATGAAAATGAACAAAACACTACCTATCCATAATCGATGGATGAACTTGTTTGTGCAGTCAAAATGATTCCAAGCTCTGGCAACTATCTCAAACGCCCATAAGTTTCAGTCATTCCTCTTAGTCTCTCTGCCTCCACACTTAAGCTGTCAAAACTAACTGAACTAGGCAACCTCCAACTCCAATTTCCAAACTGAGTTGCTGGAATATTCATCCTCGCAGAACTTCCTAATCCAAGGATGTCTTGCATGGGTATTATTGCAGTTTGTGCAACTGAAGAAAGTGCAGCCTGGATCAGGGCCCATGATATTTCGTTTTCTTCAAAGTTTCCAAGATAGTTGAGCACCTGGCGATGGGAAATGCTAGTTATTTAACACAGAAAAAGCATACTAACGAACATTAAGTAATCTTCCTTTACAAGATCAAAAAATCATCTCGGCCTAGATGTAATTTCTGCCATTTAATATAGAAGTAAAAGTAAAATCACTCACTCTTAGTTTCTCGTCCTGAGGTAATACTGCCCACCATCCTCGGATCTGAAACAAATGCATCAGGTGAGGCTTTTATAGGATTAGCTGAGCAATTTAGTTATCATTTGGCAGTTAATTTTAACGCGAGTATGTAAAAGCTACACAACATCGACAGATATTTAAATCGTACTGAACAAAAGTCTATGAGAGTAGAAGATGGAATCTGTAACAAATGAACCATCTACAGCCCAACTAAAATGCTTTATTCAAAAGACCAAGAATAGAAACTTTACAGTGTCATTGTCATGGGTTCCAGTGTACACAACTTCATTGTGCTCATGCTTGTGAGGTAGATGAGGGTTCTCTGCATCACTTCCAAATCCTACACAAAGAGATGAACAATATTACCAAATGATGCATGTGAGCTTGGAAATAAGCACAAAACAACACAAAATGAATGGAGGCAGATACCAAATTGGAGAACGGCCATTCCAGGGGCTCCTATGGATTTTCTGAGCTGAACTACGTCCTCAGTGATCACTCCCTACGGGCACAGGCATAGAAACAGATAAGATTCTGAAGTATAGTCATCTGCAGTTCATATGACCACTTTGCACCACAAACCAAAGACTATATTGATTGGTAACCTTAATATAAGCCATGGCAATAAGCCAAAAGAGACTCAACATAGAGCTCCATCTCCTGACATTTAGGATAGAAGGAAGTGATGCAATATACAGTTGTTGGCAACTGTCCAAAAATGTGATATAAACACTAAGACACCCCAAAGTCTTATATTTGGGAAAAGACAGCAAACATTCAATGCCCCAAAAGCTTAATTTACAGGACAATATAATCAATTATTTTTTCTCCATACCAAGTCTTCTGCTATGATATCGATCTTTCCAACTGCTCTGAATATGGCATCAAATAAAGAACTCCCTGGTCCTGCCTACAGGCAAGAAAAAACCACATCAGGATACAACTTAAAGTACTAAAAAATCTATCTCGAAATGTAGTGTTAATGAGATCTGACCTTCCAACTCCCTAATGTAGCAATTTTTGCTTCTGCATGACATTGCAAAAGGAAGAAGTTCAGTGCTGGTTACAGATCCTCATAATTCAAGAGCAGGACTGGATCTTACCAGAAGGAACTGCCCAAAACCCAGCAAAACCTCGAAAGTGATCAATCCTGAATTCATCAAACAGATCTTGGGCTCGTCTAACGCGACGTATCCACCAAGAAAACCCATCCTTTTCCATGGCTTTCCAATCATAAAGAGGGCTGTCAAGGAAAAATAACAATCATAATTAAAAAATATGCTTGAAGTAGAGATTATGTCCCTTGCTTGAGGCATGCGTTACTGGAGAATATGGGGCTAAAAGGTTCAAAGCTGTTTCAAAAAAATCTTGAATCATGATTTACTGGATAATTTGAGGCTAAAATGTTCATGCTTCGAGCATGGTTTACAGGAGAATGTGTGTTGCATAAGTTTCATTTTCAATATATTCTAGATTCAAGAAAGCAAAGCCTATAAAACATTTTTCCTTAACTCTAGTGAAATAAGAAAAAAAAGAATCATGAGTTTAAGTCTGGGGAAGGTAAGAGTTAGATGCCTTCAAAAAAACCATCTAATATAATCACAATAGTAGCAAATAGATGTTATAAGAACATAAAATGATTATTGAGTTTCGCATGATCTGGCTATCAGAGAATTAATTGAGTTAGCATCTTGAGAGGCAAAAATGGAGATCCGGTCAAATAAAAAATGAGTTTCTTGAGTTGCATAAACCTGTCCCAAAGCTGACCAGTTTCACTAAATGCATCAGGTGGAACACCACTGACCAGAGTAGGAAAACCACTCCTATTCTGTCACAGAAAAGGTTACTAGTCAGTTATAATCAAAAGATGCTGCTTCAGATTCTTGCTAAAGCAATTTGCAGATCCAGGCTTACTCATAAAGTAGCACTTACCAGTAAAAACTGTTTCTTATTTGCCCAAACATCTGCGCTATGATAACCAACATAAATTGGCATATCTCCCATTATACTGATTCCTTTGTTCTGAGCATAAGTACGGACTTTTTTCCATTGCCTCTGGAACAAGAACTGTTGCGCGATGAATGTGTCAATCTGTGTAAGAAAGAATTAAACTATTAGTGACTCGGTAATCCAAAATCTCACCTAGTAAAACTAAACGAGGATGAGGCGATAATACACTAGAAGTTAAGATGGCTCATACAAACTCCTTTTTGGTTTGATAAATCTCTTCTAATGCAGCAAGATGGCGATTTTTCAGTGGTTCAGGCCAATCATACCAATTAAAAGCATTTAAAGTGTCATCTATGGCAGCAAACAGTGCTGCATCATCAAGCCAACCTGTAAAGACGTTCCACTTGAGTTATGACTAACAAAAACATGAGATCTTTCAACCAATTAAAATAAACAAACTGGCATATGTACAATAGAGTTGCATATGTGCTATTTGTGTATATATACACAAGCGACACAAGATGATGCACTAACTACACAAATGCACTGAAGAAAGATGCACAGTGCTCCTGACTCAAATTTACCAAGAGAAAAAGTTACAGATTAATTGGATAAGGCATGCTGATGGAATCAAGTAGTATATCGTCGGATAAGTGGTACATAGTCCACATCTGGTCAACACTCTGAATGACAAACAATTACTCTACTAAAAGAATTTTATGAAGCACTTTAGATAAAACCAGATCCACAACTACCTGAGTGAAACCTAAACATAATGACCAAAACAATAGACGGAACAAAAAAAAGGAAAAAAAAAAGTTTCTGGAAGGCGTAAAAAAGTTACCCAGTATTATTTATAAACCTAGTCATATTTTCCATGAAGCAAGTTGAGTCATGAGAAATCATATTTTCCTTGTCGGCAATAATGATTAATATTTTGAGACGGATAAAATTGACTGAAATTTAATAAGAATGAATCATCAGGGAACATTCTTTCTTATCTATGAAAAAACTTCTGCAAAACGTACCAGTTACCTGCAACACTTGGATCCTTGCGGAAAAGATCAAATTGATTTTTGAGATCACCATTACTCGAAACAAGCCTCTTTGCAGCCTAACAATGTAACAATAGTAATAATAAAACACATAAGAAAAGCACCCACCAAAACGTATATGTAGCTTAGTTATTGAAAAAAAAAAGAAAAGAAAAGAAATATTATCTAATTCAGTCATTTGACAATATCATGGTGATATCAAAAGATACTCCCTCCGGCAAGAGAGAGAGAGAGAGAGAGAGAGATCAGACACTTCTTCAAGGTCCAAATATAGGCCGACATGTGGTTACATCTCAAAACCAATTGGTGATGAGGGGAGTAGCACATGGGTATATATGTTGGGTCCAAGTGTTTCCTTCCATCCATGTGGGACAAGGGAACATGAGGCCATTTTCTTTCTTTCATTCATTTAACAACACTTGGCCTCTTACTGCTGTAAGCCAAAGCCAGAACACATTAACACAAGAATTTCTATAGGTTATCAACAGAACTTCACTTAATAGCATAATCGCTTAGGATACCACAATATGCATTTTCTCAAGATTTTTAGTTGTAAACTGTCCCTTAAATCTCCTATTCAAGATTCTTATGTTTTGAAATATTTTCAAGGGCATTGGTCATCAAGGGTTATTAACTTTACATAATGAATATTTAAACTGAAAACGCGAGCTAGTAAGTTTCTCTCAATAGTAGAGCTGGTACTCTCTGTTTTTTATTCAGTCTGAGCTTCTAAAATAAAGCCACCTCTATGAAAACTGTCTCATCACTCTGCAGAAATAAATTGTTTCTTTTTTCAATTATTTTCTGCCCCCCATTTCAGAGAGAGGAAAGGCGTTCAGAGTCAAAGTCTCAATCTACTCAGTTTTTGAAGTTTGTAAACAATCAAACTGATTGAAGCCTAAGACAACAGAAGCCTTTTTGCTGCCAGGGATTATGCAAACAGTATATAGGGGCAGCTACAAAGAAATTCAGTACCAATTGCCTTCTCAAAATAAAACAAACATCAAGCAAAGTTATTGAACAATAGCCACAAAGACAGGCAGATGGATTCAAAAATTTACCTTTGATATCAGTGGATCTTTAACTTCAGCTATGGCTGTGAAATTCACACGATCCATATCTCTACAAGAACAAAGACACATGAGATGGAGAATGCAAACATAGACCAGTAAAGAATAGTAGGATGGTCAATAAGTAATAACTCTCACAGTGGCTCAGGAAGCTCTTCCTTCAACAAAAGACCATCTTCCACAAGTTCCTCGAGTGAAATCAAAAGGGTATTACCACAATTTGCATCCTAAAAAGGACAAGGTAATGTTACCTTTAGACCACACTAATGAACAACAACTACCCAAACAGTTCCACAGTTGTGAAAGTAAGCATGGCACACAAATAGTGGGCACAGAATAATCTGTGCAAGGTCACTGGTTGAACAAAATGGGATATGCAGGGGACGCCAGCCCTTTAACTGAATTAGATGACTCTTAAGCTTAACTGGCATGTTCAGGGAAACCCAAAGATTTTTAATAATCAGCCAAAAATGCAGGGAGGGGGAAGAAAGTTTCCAACTTACTTTTTCCTGACAGAAAGGCAGAAAGATTGACAAGATATTTACAAAGAAATGTGACTTCTTAAAGACAGTTTACAATTATAATTGGACTCCTTTTCATTTCGTTTCTGACATAGTTCCTACTCCACACAAATCAAAATTGAATGCCGAATTAATCACCTGGCCAGAATAAGGTGAACCCTCTTCATTAGCTCTCCTTCCTGGTGGAACAAGGGGAAGAACCTGCATTGTTACACTCAAAATTGCTCAATGATTAATTTCATGGATGAGATATAACAGTTCTGCCACTAAGAATATGAAATAGTTCAAAACCAGTTTGATTTTGAATTATAAGTGAATCTTGTGGATTAACTGGAAAAAAGTATAGCCTAGAATTCTGATTATGAATATTAAAATTTAGTCATTTGCTTCTTCAACTCTTCCCGGAGAACTTTTTACATATAACAAATAGCAAGATCATCAGTACTAACAGATTGACTACCATAGAGCTATATTGGTCACCAGCTAACACAAAAATCAAGAACGGATATGTTGTATCTGAATTAGTTGTACGTTCAAATCATAAATTGAAGTGATGAGGTAGCTGAAAACGGACCTGCCAAACAGAGCAACCCGCAAGGTGAAGCCAATCGAGGAAGCGGAAAGCCTGAGGGCCAAGATCACCAATGCCATAGGGGCCAGGAAACGACGTCGGATGGAGGAGAACGCCCGCTCTCCTCCGGTAACTAGAATCAGGTTGCTTCGGTAGCCAGGTGTCGTAGTCTACCGGCAAGTCCTCGCCGACGGCATAGACTTGGTCATTTTTCCGGCAATGCAGCAGTGAAGCGGTAACGGAATTCCTGAATTTAGGATCAGAGGCGAAGAATGACGTGGCGACGGCGGCGGGTGGGAGTTTATAGGGTGAGAAGGAGGAGGGGAGTGGAGGAGTACGGAGGAGTAAATGGGAAGAAGACATGGATTATTTCTGTTGGCTTGGTTAATGATTAACGGAATTGTTACACACAGTCACACAGTGGAATGAGAAATAGAGTACAATTGAATTGGGAAATAAGAGATTCTATCTGGAAGGCCAGAAGGGGATGGATTTGATAAAGAAAGCAGGAGAATCAGAGAGAAGTCGGGGAAAAGGTGGACCAAAAAAAGAGTGAAAAGGCCGCACTAATCATGTGAATGAGTGCGCATCTTTGGAAGGTCACTTACGGTGATGAGTCAGAATTTCTTACAGAGTAGAGGTAAAAAATGACGAAGATTACGTTCAACTTACAGAAATTCAAATACTCCCTCCAGGTTTGGTCCAATATCTAAAATATCCTTTTTATTTGAGAAAATATCAAAAACGCCCAGTGACATTGCCGATGCTTATCCAAAGATTTCACCACTGGACACCAACTACGATATTGAGATCCTACCGCGACCACTAAATCTTAACCCAATTAACTTTAATTTTAGGAAGTCGCCAGGTAGAAGTTTTGTCTTGTTCTATTATGGAGGTTAACTGAAATCTACCATCACCAATCACTTTTAACCCGTATAATCTTGTCTAATTAGAATTTCAGATAGGGAGCCGCAGCAGTAATTGGCCAAATTGAATTTATTTTTCTTTCTACAGGGATGTTCTGACCTTCAGATCTGTTATATAACTTGGTTTCACTAAACAAATTCTTTTTCCTTTTGAACTGAATTTCTTCTCTCTTTTTTTCTCATTTAGTTTATGATGATTGAATTGTAGTTTTGGATTATACTGATCCGTCAATGCGTTTAGTTATTGATTAGATTCATTTAAATGTAGAAATCACCTTAAGTCGAACTGATGAAGTTTGATTTGGCTTGAGTTTTTATTTTTATGTTGCTGCAATTGTACTTTACTTTTGAGCCACTTTGAGATTCTTGATGTGAATATATATATTCGAAATTGAATCCGGATCAACTGAGAGAGTAGAATCATGGGTTGGTTTCCCTTAGATATTACTACACATGAGATTTTGTTGGAACTTCGTCGGGCCGGGAAGATAAGGGCTTGTTTGCCCAACACTTATTTTGTATTTTTATCTCATTTTACCTCTTAAAATACCTCTTAAACACAAATCTCAATACTATCCAAACAACTTTTTAATTTACCTTTTAAAAAATATTCCAAAAATTATTTTTACACAATTTTCATCTATCATCACCGGACCACCTCCACCACCACCCGCCGCCGCCAGACCATTGCCGACTCCGGCCAAATTCTGGCGATCTGAATTCGGTCGGCTGGTCGCCGGCCGGTGGCGGTCCGACGGCGGCGGCAGTGGTGGAGGTGCTCCGGTAGTGGTCTAAAAATATTATTAGTTTATTTAAAATATCACCCAAATAACTTTTTAAATTTTATCTCAAACCACATTTTAAATCATATCTCAAACCCAAATCAAGAACCAAAATAAAAATTAAAACAAAATGTTGGCCAAACAAGCCCTAAATTTTTTTGCAGCAGAAGTGTAAAACGGCTAAGCATTTTGTGATTATCCCATTTGGGTTTTGGGGGTCTTTTAATAAAGGGTACAAATGGACTTATGACTTTTTTATCCGACATCAGATTTTTCTGGTGCTCGAGGACGGTATTAATAGTTGACCTACCGGTCAATGAGCATATTTAATTTGATATTCTCTTAGAAGGTGAGCATATTTTAGATATTGAATCAAATCTCGAGGGTGTATTTGATATTAACCCTAAAAAAAACCTTGGTTTAGGACAAATTCTTTCTCAATTACGACTACTTCAATGATATTTCGCATATATTATCAACCCACTTTTAACTTAAAATTATTATTAGATTTCATATTTTGATACTATAACGTTTTATTATTTTGGAATAATAAATTCCCCAAAGAAAATCATAAAACATTACTCAACGCTGGCTCTAATGCTTTGAAGTTTGAAGGCCCCTGTTTTTTTAATCACTGCATTGAGGGAAATGGTGTTCCCCCCCGCCCCTTTAAGTGTTTTTCTTTTTCCTTTTTTTAATTAAATTCTAAGGTAATTTGACTTTTTTTAAAAATAACTTACCGTTCACTTTTAATTAATTAAGACTAACTGAACAAAAAAAAACTTCTTCAGTTATGATTATTATCTAAAGAATTTCGCGTAGCTGAAATATTTCTTTTTGATAATACGCACCAACTTACATATTGACCAGGTTATGTCCAAAAGCAACTTCAACACATGATAGTACTCTATTACAACCAAAATGCTACTTTATTTCATCAAAACTCATCCTTTTTCTTTCTCAAAAATTCTTGATCACTAAAACAACTCTAGTAAGAAACACATTGGTAAGGATTTGATCGAAAATCACCAATATAGTTCAGTTTTTCCTTTCAATGAATGTGGCGTTCTTCCATATTTAGATGTTACAGTCTTAAATCTTAATGTATCGTTTCTCTATACTTACGAAATCCGTCACTTCTAATCGGGCAATTAGCATAAACGTGATTCAATGACTTGTATAGTTATGTTTCTCCTCGAATTAACATGTGGGAACTTTATTACTATGTTTAGATCTTGTCGTTTCAATGTGGTATCTCTCCATATCATGACAAACTATTTATCCTTTACTTCTCACATGGCGTTGACGTCCTTATCCCCAACCGACTGTGACATGCAACCTCACTCTCTGTAACCAACTCCCGACTTATCAACTAAAAAAGTAAAAAAAACATTTATGTAAGTATACCATGTATGTATAATAAATTTAAAAAAATAAAAAAATAAAAGGAAAAACTTCACTTTTTTTAGAAAGAAAAAACCTAGCTAAAAGAAGAAAAAAAAGAAAAAGAAAGAAAAACAGCGCTCGGTTGAGCCCAGCTCTGAAAAAAAAAAAAAAACAAAGGCCCAAAGAGAACAAAGACCTGTTTAGCTTATAACCCGGAAGTGACCCGACTTTGACCCGTGTATTTTCTAAGAGATCCTTCGAATTTGAATTGCAATTATTTGTTCCCATAAAAGAATTGAAAATAAAGAATTGAGCCCCATTTTAAATTATAATTCTAATTTTGGGAAGTCATTTTTATCAGCCAAACACAAGAATTGGAATTGGAGGTGGGTCCAATCCAATCCAACCAAACAAAGCCTTATTAAAAGAAAATATGCAATATGTTTATGACCTCCATTGCATAGAAAAGAAAATGCATTTTTGTATTAAAAAAAACCTTAACTTAAAAAGCTAACTCCAATCTTCAGTTACTTTTCATAAAAACAACTGTTTAATTTTTTTGTTTCTAAAAAAAAAACTATAATTTTTCACTTTTACTGCAGTAATCCTAATATTACAATCACAACGTTGGGCTTCGATTTAAGGATGAAACGTTAAGGAGATCTCAGATGCCCAAACATGCTCACGTTTGATGCACATTTTAGATGAGATTGTGAGTCCGTTTCTGTTTGAGAGTGTGTGTGTGTGTTTGGGGATATTTTTTACTCCCTTGTCCCAAAATTATTATATAGTTTAGATTTTTATTTTTAATTTAATTTTATAAAAACAAAATTAAAAATTTAAACTGGCAGTGGGGGCTTTACGAGGAGCCTCCTAAAATGAGGATTCTGAGTCTCATATTATTTAGGCCTCATTTTTTAGGATTTTTTTTTCTAAAATTATTTTCTAGTATTATTTTATAATAATGGTTAAAAAGATAATAAAAAAAACTATACTAACATAAACATTTCGACATGCAAAGTAAAGTATGTTGTATTTCAGTTATCTCATAAAATTATTTGTATCGTAATTTTAAAATATTTTAATAAAAATTTTATTTATCTAATTCCGACTACTAGAAGGCCACAAATTAAAATTTGGCTTGAGACTTCAATATGCGTTGAGCCAGCCCTATAAACTGGACAATAATTTCGGGACTGGGAATATCATTTTAAATGTCCCAGTCCTCACATCGTCGCCCCAATTTGATGCAAATGTGAGAGTAAATTTCCTATAAGCTTAAAAATGTAGTAAGGTTTATTAGTCGTTGGAAATCTCAGCGGAACAGAGTGTATTTGCATAGAGCACAAGCCAAGGAAATGATTGGCATTTAAGATGAACTTGGTTTTGTTAGGTGCTGTTGTTGACCTTTCAGAAAATCTGGTTGATGTTGTGAATACTGAATAAACTTATTGTTCCATCAGTTCATCCATGGTCTCTAAACAATTGGAGATTTGACTCAAATGATTACGTATTATTGATATTTCACATATCAATCTTTCCACACTTAAAACTCTTACATATCGAGTTACATCAAAATCCAGGATCCGTTAAGTGATCATAGCTACATGATCACTGAAGGAAGAGTGACAAATCCAAGAAAATTTACATGTATTTGAAATTCCACCCACTCTATATTCCTTCCATCCAAATTTAATAAAATAAACTATTTTTCTGGGATGGATAGAATATCGTCTTCCTATACATTTCCTTCTATACTAACTATGTACAAGCACTTGATACATAATACGCTGTATAACATCAAATACTTTTAGTCGACAAATTTTTTCATAGCTAACTATACTAGTTATCTACTATGTATTTCAGATATCATCTGACCAATCATCAGTGTCCTCATAAAACAATCCGTCCACGATCTGATCAATCAAGTTGTCGATGAAAACGTTGCAACTGACCGTAAAGATCCGGCCAACTCTCTTCCGATTGCTCGAAAACCAAGCAAAAACAGCAGCACAAACTATGGCCCCCAAGCACGCCCCTGCTGTTTCTTCAATTCCTTGCAAATCCATCTTCCTGAATAATGAGTTTCCAGTCACAGACTCCATGCTCACCGTCGCTGCAAACACTACCTGAATGATGATGATTTAATGTTTAGATCCAATAATTAGCTGATTTTATCATCAAATCGAACACCAATTCAAAAAAAAAAAAAAAGTAACTAATAATTTACCATGGCAAGACGACCAGAGATGATCTCAAAGTCCTGACTTTTCTTTGAGCTTTCAATATAATCCGACAGCGTTGCGAAAAACCGCGAAACTTGATCGTCATCGCCATCAATTCCAGCAGTTTTCATCAACCCAATTCGATCAGTCGACCCATAAGTCCTCAGAGTACAGAGCCTTGGCTGCAGGACAATCTTATTACTACTACTTTCAGAACTTCCATTTTGTGATGATAATACCTCAGGTAATCTCACTTTCTGAGATTGCAGATTCAAACCCAGATCGTTCTTTTGAACTACAGGGCTCTGGTTCTTCAATTCACAGAAAACAGGCCTAACTAAGGCCATATCCTGGAAGATGAAGAAGAAGAAGAAACAGAGCAGAAGCAGAAGCAAAGGGGAATCTGTGATTTTGTTGGTTTTGATTATTCAGGAATCTTTATTATTTTTTTTCTTTGGTTTGTGTGGGGAAGGCTTGGTGGTACTATGAAGTCCACGTCTTAGGAAAGGTGAATGCGTGGAAGAAGCGCATTTGGTGATTGGTGGTCTTATGTTTTTGTTGTCATTGTGGAAGAGACGTGGAAGCAAAATTGTTCGTTAACGTTGCTTTCAGATGGAACTCGTGGGAAACTTCGAAAAATGGTGGGTTCAATTGAATTGTCAGTTATCTTCCAAAGAGCAAATTATAGGTGAACTTTAACTGTCTTTTACTAAGAGCGCACCCATGTGGTAAATCTGGTAGGTGATTAAAAAGTTTATGGGAGAATTTTGTCTCTCAACTTACATCTATTTCGAACTCTATTCTGATTGAGATAATAGATCTAAAACAAACCATAATACAAATGGATAAATAATCCTTATGTACCGAAATTATTGTTATTTTCCGATATTCATTTTTAGAGAGAATGAGTCTTTTCATTCCAAAGTTTGGGCCACACCATCTAAAATATCACAATGTTTAAAAACATACTATTTACATCCCAAACTTTTTAAAAACATGTTATATTAGGATATTTGTTAAATTTTTAACTCAAGTTAATTAATTAGTAGTGGTACTTTATTCTGTTTCTCCTCCCCCAATTCTTTTAATTATTTAACACGTTTCACTAACTTCCACCTTATAAGAAAATAGCTAAACCTAATTTGGTCTTCACATCATCTATTCTTCCCTTACTTTGAAAAAAAAAATCCAAGAATCACTTTCTAGATTGATAACAATCATGAGAGATTTTGTGTGTGTCCTAATTAGAAAGTAAGTCCTATTTCATTTAATTTTTTTAAATATGTAGCATCATTATAAAAATTGATGTTGTAATTGATGTAGGGGCATGCAACTTCTTTGCTTGGCATGGACCAAATTTACCAAATGCAAGCATGAAATTTTTTTGACTAAAAAAAATGGGGGAAAAGAAACTAAATGAAATATCACCATTAATAACTTGAAAAAATTAACAAATGTCCTAATATTACATATTTTTGAAAAGTTTGGGATGAAAATGACATGCTTTTAAACTTTGGGATATTTTAAATGGTGTGGCTCCAACCTTGAGTTGAAAAGACCCATTCTCCCTTCATTTTTAATACAATTGAATTAAAAGTGAATACCCAAACTGGACAATAATTTTAAGATATAAAGAATACTAAAATTAAAAATTTAAATTCAAGAATCATTTCAGAACAAAGAAGGTCAAAAACACAAACATGTTTTAACTGTTACACCTCTTAGAAAGGTCGTATACTATAAAAGCCTCTATGTGTCTGATGTTGATGAAAGGTCGAGGTATTTTATGTCTTGTTTCAACTTGGATTAGTCCAATTCACCACCAAATAAAGGTGCAAAAACTTTTTTTCACCCCAAAAAAAAAGTAGAAAAATTTTTAAATCTTGGTTCGGGATCGATCGAATGCTAGCACTAAATAGAGATGAATATATAGAGTACGATGAATTTTAAAGATCCAATAAGTTATGAGAAGGTTCCAACATGTATAATGTAACGTCGAAACTAGCTAACTGTATAAGAAAGTCTGGTTAAAACATGTTTGAATTATTTTCGCAATTCACATGTACGTACAAGATGAGGATAGAAACGGGCGGAACTTTTGAAATCAAATCATGATCTACTCGAAATCATAAAGTTTTTATTTGTTAAAGAATGAACTAATCCTAATAAGGCACCTGAAAATGAAGACTGAAAGAGTGCATAATAACACATAAATTTCAATGAATTGAATAACATAAATATGCAACCAATCAATATTCAATAACAATGAACATGATGTTTCTCTCCTCATTACACCTCTCACTGATCTTTTCTAAAAAAACAAATCAACATTATCAAATTCCCATCCTACAATCATCTTCTAGGGCGCCCTAATATATCTACAAACTCTAGTACCCTTGATTATGATGGATCAAAGAACAAAAAATTAATTCAACCTTAAATTTAACAAATAAAAAATGAAGACCAAGACCTAAAAATCATCATACCCTCACAAAGAAAATACTTAATTCAGGTCCATTGTTACCATCAGGGCTCAACATGTACAATGTCTCCGAATCCTTCGACCCGATCACACGTTCAAAATGTGCCCGGATATACGCCATCTCCCCTTCCGGCCCTTCCACCTCCGATTTGCCGGGCAAGACGCCGGCGCCCATCGAAACCGCCTTGAGAAGTTCCATCACATGCAAGTCCTCCTCCGTCGCCTCCCTCTTAACCCCGTAACCGGTTTTCTTCCCGTTACAAAACACGGTCCACAAGGGCTCCTCCAACACTTTGATCTTCTCCTTTTCGGACCGCTTTTCGCATTCCAAGGCGATCCGAACCATCCCGATGCTCATCTCCCTTTGCAACACGTTGGTTTGCATGGCAAGCTCCACAACCAATGTGGGTAAGGTCCTAGGGTTTTCTTGTATGGACAGGCTCACCCGGCCTTTCCGGTACCCGAACAAAGTTCCGGTGACCCGTGTGCCGGTCCCGCTCCTCCCGTCCGGCAGCTTGCCACCCGGGAGGGTTGGGAACTTGCATGCCGGAGTTATGATGGGAAATGATCTGAAAACGGACCGGAAAACACGGAAAACTTTGGGTTTGTTGTGTTTCTTCTTGCATGAAGGCTGAAGGAGGGAAAGCGGTGGAGGGGGTGGAGGAGGGGCTTTAGAGGAAGAAGAATATGTCGCCGACGATGATTGGTCGGAACCGGTGCTAATCCTTGGCTCCCCCATTACCGGCCACCTCATAACCAGCAATGGAGGAAAAATTCCACGAAAAGAGATGGACAATAATAAATTAAATAATAATAATGATCAAGAGAGAGATGGATGAGGAAGAGAGAGACCAGGCTTAGTAGTTAGAAAAAAAAAAAGAAAAAAAAAGAATCATGAGGTGTGATTTTTGAGAGCCCAAACTTTAGCATTAGTTTGTTTTTTCTTCCCTGTAATTCGGAAATTGAAAATTTGTTTAAAATAAAAGATAAATTCCAATTAGGGGGGAAATAAAAAGAGAGAAGACATTGTTAGTTGATTAGCTAGCTGTGTTGTCATCTAAGTTAACTAATTATCATCTATATTTCCAGATCGTTTAATTTTCTTTTGTTGCCTTTTGAAAGAGCAGCTCAAAGTTGTATCCAACCAGTCTAGTGTCCATCCGTTAAATAACAACTGGTCGATATCATACACTACGAAATATTATCATGATTAAGTTAATAGGTTTCCATTTACAGAGCAATAATACTCCCAACAGTTCTTATTAATTTAGTATGTGAAAATAAAACCTTTAAAATATTTTATAATAATAGGAAGAACAAAATAAATATAAAAATTGTTACCAAATATTTGATTTGATTTGATTGAATGTCCATAATTAACATGTATTATTCTGTTCACAATCAAAGAAATATGATTTTGTAATATTTAGCATTAATGATAGGTGATTTATTTCACATAGTTTGATCCCTTTACTTCTTGTATAAATAGGGAGATTATTCATGTATCAGAATACATCTCAATACAAGTCTTTCATCTCTCTCTACTCTCTTGTCTTCTCTCTTGTTCTTATGTTTAGTTTCATATTAGTAGTTTAGCATTAATTTATAACACGTTATCAGCATGAAAACTCTTTCTACCACCACCTGAAGTTGATGCATATTGATTTTGAAGGCCTGAAACTTCAATGAATATTTTAATTCTATGACCACATGAAGTTGGTGCGTATTGATTCTAAAAGCCTGAAGTCTCAATGAATAATTTAAAAGGTTTTCGTGATCTAAAGCGCCTAAAGTACCGTGACCTTAAAAACTTTCCGTTCTGAGATGGTTCATGATGGAGTTCAATGTAATGACTCAAAATGATGATGATGGGAGAAAACGGTAAATCATAAAATATGCATATTTGGTTTGCATATAAAGAAAAATAATTCTTGTTATAAATTCTATTTATTCATATCCTACAATCATGATACAAGTCTATATGATTGTTGATCATGTGAATATATATAACTTATATAAGTTACATGTAATTGCAAGAGTATCCATGTGCACAAAGGGAAAAAAAAGTTTTATTTTTAAGAATTAATTTCTTTGATATTTATATTGTAAGGAAAGCACTTTATTTTATTATCTTACGTTAATTAATATTAGTAAAAAATGTATTAATAGAAAAAAATCCCCTTCTCATATTTTCTTTGCACTTTTATATTCTACTTTGTCATATTAATGCTGATATTTATTAATGAAAGTAAAATATATTGTTAGTAGCAATATGTAAATGTATCAAAGTTGCTCCCAAAGTAGCAATGTTTTTTTTTTTTTTTTTGGGGAACTGTAAATACTTTCATTATATGCTTTAAAGCTCATATTTACAACAAAAAACAAAGTCAAAATTTTCTGCTATTCAACTAAGTAACACTGATCTAGAAAATACATTTGAATCAGTCTCTCCTCACCAGCAGACATTTTCCTATTCTGGTTCCTTAATCTCCAGTATAGTTCTTTTTTGATCTGGTCTACTACGTCTTCCACCCTGCTTCTGGCTCCTCTGAATATGCAATAATTTCTTTCTTGCCAGCAATGATATAGTACCGCCAAAACTGCTGCATTCCAGAGTTGATACTTTAATTTTGTTCCTCTCCAAACCCTTAGTACTGCCTTCTGCCATACATTCCAATCCAATGAGAACTGTCTGATGCCAAGCCAATCTCTGATCTGACTGAAGATTTCATAAGTAACTTTACAGCTAAAACACAGGTGCTTGTGACTTTCAGAATCAGCTTGACACAATGCACACAGGGGGTCTACCCCTGTGATGGACATTATGTTCAGTCTATCTTTAGTCAACAGGCGGCCTTTCCACACAAGCCATGCAATAAAAGTGTGTTTGGGAACATTGAGCTTAGACCAAATCAGATTGGCCTCAGGAGCTTTTGTTCCCTTACCTTTCAGCCAGTCATAACCATCAGAAATACTGTATTAACCTGTCTTATTCCATTTCTAGTGACTACCAACAAAAGCATCTTTAGCTAAGTCTCTGATTTTCAAGATTTGTTTCCAGTGCCAACTGGAATCTTGCTTCTTCTCCACTTCCCATATAGATTGCCTTTTCAAGTATACCCCATGGATCCACTTTACCCAAAGTGAATCACGTTTCTTAGCTAAGTTCCAGATCTGCTTCAAAATGGCAGCTTGATTCCATATCTTGATGTCCCGAAGTCCCAAGCCCCTTTTGATTTCCTTCTACATAGAATATCCCAAGCTACTAGGGGAATTGAACTACCAGCCTGCTTTGCACCCCAAATAAATTCCCTACAAAGCCTAGTAACTTGCTTGATAATACTACTTGGCAGTATAAATGTACAAGCCCAGAAGGTATGAAGAGACATCAAAACAGAATTAGTTAATTGCACTCTTGCAGCATACGAAAGGTTTCTAGTCTCCCAACAGTGAAGTCTAGCCATCATTCTTTGAATCAGACTATCACATTCAATTTTTGACCATTTTTTAGGAGATAAAGGGACTCCGAGATACCTCATGGGGAACTGGCCTTCAATGAATCCAGTCATTCGGCATATTCTGCTCTTCTGCTCATTGCTCACCCCACCAAAAAAGATCTGAGACTTCATGTGGTTTGGAAACAGTCCTGTTGAGGCTGAGAAATCTTTGAATCCTACAATAATCCTTTGAATGGTACTTTCATCTGCTTTGCAAAACAACATTAAGTCATCAGCAAAACAGATGTTAGTTAATTTAAGCTCCTTGCACAAAGGATGGAACTTAAATTGGGGAGTTTCTACTACCATACATAGTTTTCTAGTAAGAAATTCCATTACAAGCACAAACAGGTAAGGCGATACAGGATCCCCATGTCTAAGTCCTCTTCTTCCTTCAAAATTCCCCACTGTAGTACCATTTATCACTAGTGAGTAAGATGGCGTGGTGACACATGCCATGACCCACCTAACAAACTGTCCCGGGAAGCCGTAACCATAGAGCATCTCCTCCACAAATTCCCATTCCACTGTGTCATAGGCCTTCTTTATATCGATTTTCATCAATACTCTGCCAGAAATGTTACTTCTCCTATATAGTCTAACAAGCTCCTGGACTATAATTAAGGACATTATGTAGAAGAAGTCTGTCTTTGATAAAAGCGCTCTGATTCTCATTCACGAGTTCTATCAGTACATTTTTCATCCTTTCACAAATCACCTTGGAAATGCATTTGTAGACGACATTGCAACATGCAATGGGCCTATATTCCCCAACATTCCTCGGTGAATCTGTTTTGGGGATGAGTGCTATCAATGTTGAGTTAAGTTGCTTCAGCATGCATCCCGTATCAAAAAACTCTTTTACTGCTTCAGTAACAACCAAACCAGTTACCATCCAAGTCTTCTTGAAAAATTCACTTGAGAAGCCATCTGGACTGGGACTTTTATTACTATCAATATTCCAGAGTGCTCTCTTGATTTCCTGTTCTGATACTGGTTTCAAAAGGTCCATCTATTGATCCACTGTAAGCCTGGGCCCTTGCATAAAAACTTTAAAGTTTGATTGGCTTCTCTGGTTCTTCTGACCTAATTGGTGTTGAAAAAAGGACAGAAAGTGTGCTTCCACTTCTCTCCAATCTGTTTTCAACGTACCATCATCCTCCATATATGACCAGATTCTGTTTTGAACATTCCTCTGCTTGACCTTGGCATGAAAGAAAGCAGTATTACTATCTCCTTTTTGAATCCACTCCTCTTTGGCCTTTTGTATCCAATACAATTCCAATGCCTTGGCCAGTTGAAAGTATTCTTGATTACGCCTTCTTTCTTCTTCCTGAGCTACTATATCTGAAGGGTTGGCATGAATTCTGTTCTGTACTTCCACTATCCTCTGAAAACCATCTTGAGTTCTTTTCTGAATATCAGCATATTTCTGTTTATCAAGTTTCTTCAGAATAGGTTTTAATCGTTTCAGCTTAAGAACTAGCTGAAATAATTTAGTACCCTTCATCGGTTGTTCCTAGCTACTCTTCACCAAACTCAGAAAAATATCATCCAAACATTAAAAAATTTGAAGGGTCAAGGAAGTTGACTTACTTGCATATCTGTCTGGATGATTAAAGGAGTATGGTCTGAAACTCCTTCAGCTAAGATAGTGACCAGTGATCTTTTATACTGTAATACCCAATTCATATTGACTAAAGCTCTATCAATGCTTGACATAATCCTTGCATCCCTCAATTGTTTATTACTCCACGTAAATAAGTGACCCTGCTGCTTCATGTCTTGGAGTCACATGTATCCACACACCTCTGGAACTCCTGAGTTTCAGCTAATGAGATCCTACTCCCACCTTTCCTTTCATCCTGCTTCAGTACATTGTTGAAGTCCCCTGCTAGTAGCCAAGCTTCACTAGTAGTTAATGAAATTAGGTCCTCCCATAACTTCAATCTCTTAGCTGGGTTGTTACTGGCATATACAATTGTAAGATAAAAGCATCCTCTAGGGGCATAAGCAAATTCTACCTCTAGGGGCATAAGCAAAATTAAAAAAGTACTCATGATTCGGCCACATTCTCTTAATATAATTTTCACCATTCTCTGGAGTAAATTTGGTTTCTACTAGACATACAATATCAATCTTATAAGATGCTACGAAACGATTGACTTCCTTTTGCTTACTGAGGCTATTTAAGCCTCGTATATTCCAGGATAATAAATTGGCCATCTTTTTGGTACTCCCTTTGCTGTCTCCTTTGTCTTTTCATTCACCCCACTACTAGAACCTACATCCTCATCCCTGGTAAGAACAATGAATTTAGATTGCTGAATTTCCCATTGTTGCAGCATTTCCACTGAAGTTATGCTA